GTCTGTTTATTTTGACATTCAGCATGAAATTGAATCTTAAAGCATGGTTCAGGAAAAACGGCAAAATGTTGAACTCCTGCGCATTGCACACATCTAGGTAAAACATGCCATGTAGCAAGTTCAGACAGGAAAGCAGAAAGTGACATTAAGAACCAAAGGCAGTTTTTATGCAATGCTGCCCAGCATTTCCACATTGGGGATCTTTTTAAGGTGAAATTTTTTTCCACTTTGATCTTTGTTCAGTAGACTAAAGAATAAATATTTTGACATGACAGAACTTTGAAATACTGTTTAAGCATTGTGATTAAATGTGTTGTTGGGTGTTATTCATTAAAAAATTACTCAAAAATGATTTCTAAGTGACAGCTTAATATGTTACTTTGCTTCCCAGATTCCAAACCAATAAAGCTACCAGCACCTGCATTAATTACTAAGTCAAAGTGATGGCAATAAGTTATTTGAAGTTAAGCTTATTAAATATTGAATAAGTTTAACTTCAAGTGTGATTTACATTGAAAATGAATAAACTATTTATTTGTAAAAATCTCAGAGGCCTTGTTTATGGTAACAGAAAAAGGAGTAGAAAAAATTATGGAAATTACAGATATTCTCATTAAAATCTTGAAATCTAGTATCAAATTCTTTTCTTAATTTTGATATAATCTCTTTCAAAATTTTGTTTGTTACATTCCTGCAAGTTGAAAAATACAATCAATTTTTGTTATTCATTTGAGATTCTGAAAGTTGTATTCTCATCAAGAAGAAATTGATATATCTGTGCAAAAATTTGATAACTTAATGGACATATGCAAATGATGAGAGTTATAGAATATATTTGCATTCTGAAGTGCTGACTGTTATTACACCAAACTAAGATATCTGTAGGAAATATGTGTAGCTGGCACCAGTTGATGCCAATGCTTCACAAGCAATGAATCATTGACATGCATTGGACTGATGTAAGTTTCTAACAGATCACTGCAAGAATGGACAGCCATTTGAGCACAGTGCAAAAATGCTGTCCACAGTAAATGAGCAATCATCGATTAACATGAAGATCTAGTACTGGAGCATCCAGATGCACATGTGAAGATCATATGCTTTAGAACAGTGATTCCCAAACTTTTTCGATGCACCGCCCCTTTTGTTCTATAAAGTTATATCCAATGCCCCCTAACCCATTTTCTCTTGTGTGAGAAAGGATTGGAAATATTCTCAGGAAAACTTTTTATGAATCTCACACTTTGTGCCCTTACTGTCCGTACATTGTTTTCAACATCTGGAAGCCATTCAATGCAATGTTTCATCTTATCCGTTTAACAGAGGAAAGGCTGTCAGTGACCCAACTTTTGCCTTTGGTCACCGTCAGTACCCTGCCTCCAGCGTCCCCCTAGATTTACTCATTGCCCACAGGGGGGCGGTAGCACCCATTTTGAGAACCGCTACTTTAGAATGTAATTCAGGACTTTTTTACAACAGTGACAGCTCATAACAGTTACAACAACAGTGTTAACACTTTGGATTGATACAATACTGCCTGTAGTTTGATACAAAGCACCAAACTGTAGGCAATGTTGTAACCTGTTTGTGTGAAGCAGACAATGCTAGGCATCCTACCAGCATCTGCCATTGCAGGCTCAACATCACTCTTGTTTTTTTCTCTGGTGTCAAGCTATTTATAGATAATAGATAATAGAATAATAATATAAATGAATGATACAGATATATAGTATGTAGTGGTAAACAACAATTAATATTAGTTTAACCCTATAATCCTTTACGTCAGGCATAGTATTTCCTACAGCATCAAATATCCAATGGTTTAACCATGCACAATTGGCTGTAGGAAATACTACACCTGACATAAAGGATTATAGGGTTGAAGTTTACCTTGGTAGTCCCAATGACTGCGCATCAGTTGGCTTAGGTTAGGTTAACTAAATTTTTAGTAGATGTTTCCTTTTATTTCTTTTTAGGTATCCCTTTCTTCTGTCTACTAAAAATGTAGTTAACCTAACCTAATCTAACCAACTTAAGCTAATCAAAGTGCGCCCATTGGGACTACGAAGATAAACTTCAACTGATTATAGAGTTAAACTAATGAGAGTATAGTTACCCTATTTATAGGAACAATTAAAAAAATATATTCGTACAGTTGACCCCCCTATAACGCGGTAGATACATTCCACTTTATAAGAATTTCGCGGTATAGGAATCCTTAAATATATGAGCCAATCACAGCCCAGCACATGTGCAGTTTATGGACTATGGCTGTTTGAAAGGCTTTCTTCCATAAAATTAATCAATTCTAGACTAATTTGACTCAACATTTCCAAAACACGTATAATTTTGTGGAAATAATCTGTATAAACTATGCTATAAACAAAAAATTGTAGGATTACTTACCGAGTGTGCACCATTCGACCACGCCATTGCTTAAGCTTGTTTTCATGGCAGAGCAGCGCATTGAACAGCGGGCATGTTTTCTGATAAGTTATTTTTCTGCAAAAAATTCGTTGAACTTTGGAGACATCATTAATAGAAATAATTTTTATGGCCGTTGAATAAGAAGTGTTTTTTTCACAAGAAATGTATAAAATTACAGTACTGTATTAGACTTACAGTACCTAATTTAGGCCTATATACTGATAGATGATAGTAAACTCAACTTACCCACCTAAACTCTTCATAGTGTGTAAGGTAGTTCGACTGCTTGTCCACTATTGGTCTAGATTCGACCAATCCTGTCGCGACACGAGTCGGCGATGACGTTTTACTGCATTTTATGAGCCTTTTAGTGTCTTTATATAAATACGGTCACAATTTTTCTCCGCGATATATGAATCCACGTTATAGAGGGGTCTACTGTACACACATTTATATATACAGTAGACTCCCCTATAACATGGGTTCATATAGTTTGGATTCCTATATCACTGCAAAAAAATTGTGACAGTATTCATACAAACATGCTAAAAAAACTCGTATAATTCGGTAAAATGTCATCGAATCTAGATCAATAGCAGATATTGTACAAACTATTGAGTTTAAATGAGCAGCGGACTACTAAAAACCATTTATTATTTAACGTTCATAAAAATTATATTTATATTAATGATGTCTCCAAAGTTCAGCAAATTTTTCGCAAAAAAATTAATTTATCAGGAAGCACGTGAGCACCATTCGATAACAAGCTCCATGACGAAAACAAGCTTAAGCAATGGCGTCATTGAATGGTGCACACTTGGTAAGTAATCCTACAATTTTTTGTTTATAGCATAGTTTATATGGATTATTCCCAACAAATTATACGTGTTTTGGAAATGTTGAGTCGAATTAGTCTAGAATCGATTAATTTTATGGAAGAAAACCTTTCAAACAGCCGTAGTCCATAAACTGCACACTGCCTGGCTGTAAATGGCTCGTATATTTAAGTGACTCGCTAGAATCAATCTGTTTTTTGTTTTCTGTCACAAATATATCACAGATTACGACTGTTAAATTTCAAATAAAATAAAAATTAAAAATAATAATTTAATTTTAAATTTACGAAAAAAAGAATGTAAAAAAATAAAAGTAAATAAAAAGTTCCAATTAATTTACTACTTAAATAACCTAAATATATCTGTTTTCTTTCAAACAAAAGAAACCGTAGCTTTCTAGCTGCACGGACAACCCTCTTTGTTGACAAGTTTATGGCTTGATGCGATTTGTAATAATTATTAAATCCAAAATATTTTAATGCAAATGGCTTCCTTTTAGTCGTAATGACTCTATTCCAACTACAGTATTAATTTTTTGGTCCAACTTAACAATAATAAATTTGATGTGAAAAATTTTTTTCTATTCTTAGTCTATGGAGAGATATTGTTGTAAATTATTAGTTGTTATAGCTTTTTGTACATTTCTTTTTAAACTCTGGTTAGTTTTTTCTAGTTTGAATGGCATTAGGTTGACGAATAAGCGTCTTTTCAGAAAAGATTGATTCAAATTCGACTATACCAATCAGAATCTAGAATGTAAACAAATGCTAAAAAATCGTTATTTTCATGGTTTTTCGGCGCTATTTTCACTTATTTTTGTTATTTGACGCTATTTAGACAAATAAGCAAGTTTTCCGAAGCATAAAATTGAAGATTTCCCGCCAAAATAGAAACTTCCTGATAACATTGGAAATGACGTTCTGACATCATTTTATTCTATTTGATTCTTCAAAAAATCGTTATAATACTATGTATTAGAATTAAAATACTGTATTCCATATCTAAACCAGAAAGTGTTAGCTAGAAATACTTATTTATAGAACAACTCCCCATTTCTCACTTCAGGGAAAGTTATAAAACAGTTAGGTGCTAATGACTTTGTGAAAGGGAAAAGTTTCACAAACTTTTCCCTTTCATTTTTACATTTACATTTTTTAAAATTTACATTAAGTGTAATGTAAATTTTTACATTACACTTAGAAACTTCGAAAGAAGGGATTTGGCCTGTACCATCCCCAGGCCGCATAAACATTGATAAGGGGCCGTATGTGGCCTGCGGGCCGCAGGTTGTGCACTCCTGGTATATATATATATACAGTGGTGTCTCATACTTCAAACAATCCTGGAATGAATTAAGTTGGTCTCTGGAATATTCTTGTATTTTTCATGTAATTTTAATTTATTATATAATGTATATTTAGTATTATGCCTATTACGCTTGCCTTAATCCCTTATTGTTCACAGAAGATATGTTTTGGCAACTGTAGTTTTGTAAACTGCAGTATGTTTTTGAAACATAAAACCTGCAGTTGGTGATGAATGCCTGTATATCATTTCATACATAACATATTTTAGATATTTTTCCACACTTTTTAAGTATCTCTGATTGATAGCATTGCTAGGCATTAATCATGTAACCCTTTTCAAGATTTTCATTCTTGGGGATGAAAATCTTTAAAATGGGTTACATATATTTTCATTTTTACATTACAAATGCTTATTTTATCTTGTTTTTAGGAATTAATTAAAGAGGAGGAAGAATCTGTACTTAAGCAAATTTTAGAAAGGAATGTTGATGTCAGGTAAAGTTTTCAATTTTTTTTATTATATATATAAATCGAATAATTGTACATTTATATTTTATTATTCTTATTCATATTTATAATTATTTATGTTTGAGATACAGATTCAGCTTGTTGTGATGTATGATTTTGAAGTTTTGACAATTGCTTTTGCTTATAATAAATCAGTAATGCATCATTGATATTATGGAGTTTTTATACTGTATTGAAATAGCCAGAGATTATGTTAGGATGACAACAGTTGATTTTGATTGAGAATTGACAAATTTCAATCAGTGATTTTACTTTTAAGAGTATGATCATTTGAAGGAAACAGGCAATGTACTATTTTAAACTTTAAAGTTTTCTTAATTTCACACTTTGCAATTTATTCATTATGGCTGTTAGTCATCTATAAAGATATGCAAAAATAATCCCCTTGATTATTATTTTATAATTTATGCCATCAACAAAGACTAGCAGGAGGATTAGTCCATTCACATCATTATGACAATGCCTGATGTACAACATAGTCCTGTACCTGGAACTTACATCAAATCAAACATTATGGGCAATTACAGTATGGCAATGGATCATCTTCAGTGATGAATTTCATTTAGAGCTGATGAACATTGAATTCAGATATGATGCCTACTCCACTATGGACAATGATGGAATAGGAAGTGTTTTGTGAGATGATGCATTCTAAGATGCTCAGTCATTTCTTTTGCTGATTAAGAGAAGTTTGACAAGATAACAGTATATCTTCAAAATTATAACTTCCTTTTAATAACAATTCTTTTTAGTGTAGTTTCTTAATAAGATAGATCTAGTTATATATAACTAAATCATCCTATACGCACAAGCAAAGGATATTTTGCATTTTTGCAATAATTTTTGTGAACTGTGTATTCAAATTTTTTACACGATGCTCACCCTATGGTGTTTAAAAACAAAAGTATTTTTATATGAGTTGTTTGAATTGTTCATGTGTATTGTCAGGAGTAAAGATGAATAGCAATAAGAAAAGCAAAGCTTTTGAATTAAATTCCAAAATCACAGGAACTCAATATAAGTTTAAATTTATTGTCAGGTGAAAACAGATGATTATTCGAAAATCAGAATTCAGAGAAACTTGTAAGTGTAATCGACTGAGAGTGGATTCAACTGTTAAGAATAGACAAAAAAGGTTCTGGATTGTCCAGCTTTGCATGAACAAATTATGTTGTCAATTTTATAAGATTTTTCCTTAAAGTTTAAAATGCCAGTAATTTTTGCAGGACAATGTATGCATTTACGTGCATTTGATATAAAATTACAATTGTATTAATAAATCTAATTTTCTCTATTTTGATCTATAATGTCATACCTTGTCGTATATGTGAGATCGTCTTATATGCGAGTAAATAAATATGGTAATTCTATATATTTGTAAAAATCTGAATTGGATGTAAATAATGTCTATGGAAACATTTTAAATATTAAATTTGTTTTATAAATTTTCTGATACATGTTTCTTGTCCTTAATTACATACAGTAGAGCCTCGATTATCCGACCCAATTGGGGACTGGGGTTGGTCGGATAATTGAAAAGTCGGATAACCGAAAAGTATGAAAAAATCCATTATTAGTGTAGTATATTATTATATCCCATGTAATTAGTATATTAGTATATCGCTATTAACCTATTTTGCGTTGAATTTTCATCGATGTTAAGCCTAACAAAAATTTTTTAAAATAATAATCGTCGCTATTGTA